CAGACAGTTTGTGACAATGGGGATTAAAGGAGTCTCCTGGGTAACGTGCAGTTCAACAAGGGCCTTCCCCAGACACTTGCTTCTCTAGAGGGATGGGGAAAGAGATGGGTGGCCAGCCACTCACACAAATCACTGGCCCTCTGTGACGGCTAAGGCCCTGCAAAGCAGACCAAGAGGAAGAAGGTGAATCTCGGCCCTTCCAAAGCTTCCGGCCCCCGAGGACAAAATGGGCTCTCCCAAAGTGGGCCATGTGCCAGACACATAGGCTGGACAAACAAGGTGCCACGTCCAAGAACAAAAAGGTCACTTTCGGATTGAAAATTTGATAAAGTGCCAAGAAAGAGGTGGCGCCTGAGCTGGGCCCTAAGGGAAAGGGGACAGAGCTGTCGGCCAGGGGAGGGGTAAGGTCAGGCCTGCGACCCATGCCCCTGTCCCCCATCAGCCAGGCAGGTCTGGCCCTCTCACTGCGATGGGAATGAAGAGCTGCTGGTTAATCAAAGCTGCCTAGTCCACCAGCCTCCCTCTCTTGGGCTGTGTTTGTCATCTTCCCCCAACAGGTAACCTGGGGAGGCTGTAAAATCTCCTTGTCCTTGGTCTAAAGATAAGTCCTTTTGGGGCACCTGGGTGTTCAGTCGGTTAAGCGTCCGACTTTGGCTCAGGTCATGATCTCGTGGTTTGTGGGTTCGAGCCCCGCATCAGGCTCTGTGCTGACTGCCAGCTCAGAGCCTAGAGGCTGTTTCAGATTCTGTGTCTTCCTCTCTCTCTGACCCTCCCCTGCTCACATTCTCTCTCTCTCTCTCTCTCTCGTGCTCTCTCTCACAGAAATAAATGAAAAACATTAAAAAAAAAAAAAAGATAAGTCCTTTCACCCTTTTGGACCTCAGAGTCCTCTTCCGAGAAATGAAGATAATATTATGTCTCACATGATGATTGAGGCTCAAAGGTTGTGGTAGGCAGTGAAGTGCATTTGGATGTGGGGCCCAGGAGTGCGGGGTCAAGGGTCGGTCCTGGAGATAGGGGGCCGGTAAGTTTTTTCTATTCCTGAAGCAAAGGCAATCTCTCTAAACCCACCCAGCAGCCTCTAAAATGGACACCACTGGGCACAAGGGAGCCTGGGTGCAAAGATGGGTGGATGCTTGGTGCAGTCTCGGCCTTCCTGTTGCGTCCGGACATGCTTGTAGCCAGGTCTCAGCGTCAAAGGCCCTTCCCTAACCCAGGTCTGGGTTCTCGCCCCTGCTGCCATGCCTGCGGCCAGGCACTCCTGCTGTATTCTAATGATGGCTCAGTGGACCATTAGGCTGCTTAAGAGCAGGGGTGTGTTTTATGTGTCTGTTTTCTACTCAAGTGCTCAGCACACAGTAACCTCGAGACATTTGTCCCAGGACCGGATGAACACTCTCCTCCCAAATCACGAGCCCCTCCAAACTGCACTAGCTTGGTTCTCACTTTGCCCTTGTAAATAAGAGCCCAAAGTTTCCCAATCTACAGGTGGTCTTGCTTGAAGTCTACTGCCTCCCCCTCCCCTCACCACCAACTCTCTGCAGTTACAATGATCTCAGCGACCCATGAAGTAGCCATCTCCCCTGGTCATCTCTGCCTGTGTGGGAGGGGCCAGGGACTCATTTCTCAGTCCCTGAAGGCAACTTTTCTGCCTATAGTTTAAGCAAAGTCCATCATTCAGTGACACTAAAATAAGCAGATCACTCAAGGGGGAAAGAAGAGCAGGAAACAAAACCCCACCCCATAGGTAAACATGCCCGCTTTTATAGCACAGCCCCAAGGGCCAATTCCATTGGCAGAGGCCTGGAAAGCAGGTAACTTGACTGCTGTACTCCCGGTTCCCTGGGCTGCACGTCCACACCCACTGGGCTGTGTCCTCACTGCCTCTGCCTCCCCCCTACCTCCCATCAGAGTTTCAAAGTATCCCCTAGTTAGGCTCCTTTCTCTGGATCTCTGCGGCCCAGGTTCGAAACCCTCACTAGCGTTCGGCTGCGGGCAAGTCCTGGCCACTCCCCTGTTTGTAGCTCAGGAATAAAACTGACAGCACCTCACAAGGTTATTCTGAAGATTAAAGGAGATAAAAGGAAAGTGTCTGGGACACAGTTGGACGTGCATCCCCTCCACAGTCCCCTCATATAACCAGCTCGGGCTGCCCCTTCTGCCCCCTCGGCAGGCTGACTCTCCCTGGAGACAGAGGAAACTCCCTGCCTCAGGGTGAAAAGGAAGGGGGTAGAATCTAGAGTAACAGCTGCTGTAAATAAGCTGGGGTGAGGGTGGGGCAGACAGTGGTCAGAGGGTGTAGCCTGTAGAGCCGAAGCCAGGGATCTGGATCTTTCCAAAACCAAGCACATGGCCTTCGGGCAAGCCCCTTTCTCCTCTGTGCCCCAGCTTCCTTCCCTGTGAAACAGGTCCACCCTCTTGTCCTGCCCACTTCACGTGGCCTTTGAGAAGAAGGTGCTGTACACACATGGGTGACAGTGAATACGTGTGGGGCCCAGAAGGGCTGGGAGTTGGGTGGGCACAGGCAGGGTCAGAAGCTGCCTCTTCCAGGGGGCGTGGTCACCTGCTTTGGACTCAGATCCTCAACCCAGGCCCTACACAGTACTTGGCTCCTGCCAGAGCTGCTTTCTGTTTTGAAGGAAAAATCTCTCATTCCTGCTACTAAGTCCCTTAATGGAGAAATTGCCCATTCCAGTGTCCTTCTCTTTCCCCTTTTCAACTCTGCAATTCACCTCCTTCAGGAAGCCCTCCTAGATTAGGCATATCAGACTCAAAAACACTTTTTCTTCCAGCACATCCCCCAGCATTTGAGTTAACTTTTGGACGGCAAAGACCACAGCTTATATCCTTCTACGGCTAGTGCCGGGCACACAGGGCACCCAGGAAATAGCGACTAGTTAAATATGTACATATTGGATGTGTTCACAATTGTTAAAGTTACTGTCTTTAAATATTTAAAGAGCTAAGGACATTACATTACACAGGAGGCTCCTGACACCCCAATGGGACCAGCGGCCCCAGTGGGCAGGAGTCCTGTCTCTTCCTTTGGTAACAGGTGCACCCCCCCTGCCCCCCTCCCCCCGTCGTTGTGACCTGGCCAGCTTCATTCAAGCTGCTCAGTTTAATCCTGCCGCAATGTCATCAGACAGCAGGGCAGGGTAGGACAGTGGTTATGACCAAGGACTCTGGCTTTCAAATCCTAGTGCAGCCACTAAGTAGCTGTGTGCCCTTTGGCAAATACCTGCTCTGAATCCAAACAAACAAACAAATAAGCAAATAATAAGGAAAATAACCATCTTGCCTAGTTGTCATCACAAGCAAATGAGAAAATAAAAGCAAATTAGTAGCAGAGTGGCTGGCACATATTAAGCGCTAACAAATCAAGGCGTTTGGTGACACCTGACCCCGTACCCAGCTGCAGCCTGCAGCACAGTACGACCATCCTGGTCCTTTCTCCTCTTCTCAAACTTGCTTTTCTCTTTTGCAGAATGCAATATACAAAGAAAGCTCAGGCAGATAAGGAGGAATTTCTTAGAGAGGGAGTGCAGGAAAGTCAGCCCTTCCTTCCGGCAGCCAATCTAGCTAACAACCTGCATCACCCCTTCCAGGAGGAGAAGTGCCACGACTGGTCTTTCTAGATTAGTCTTCCCTCCCAGGCCACTTCAGCCTCCAGAGGTTACAGAACTCCAACCACATCCATTGAGTTGAATTAGAACGGTGAACCCAAGTCACTCCTGTTTTATATTCTGAACTGGGCAAAAAAGGCTGCTGGTGTCTTTGGTTTTTTTTTTGGTTTTTTATATTTATTTACTTTTTGAGAGGGGGGAGGAGCAGAGAGAAGGAAAGAAAATCCAAGCAGGCCTCCACACTGTCAGCACAGAGCCCGATTTGGGGTTCGAACTCACAACCATGAGATCATGACCTGAGCTGAAACAAAGAGCCGGATGTTTAACCAACTGAGCCACCCAGGCGCCCCTAAGCTGCTGGTGTTTCTTAACAAATCTCTGTGTAGGGAGGTCAGGTATAGCAAATAAAAATACAGAATGCCACATTAAATTAGAATTTCAGATAAACAACAAATAACATCTTAGTATCAATATGTCCCATGCGTTTTTGAGGCAAACTAATACTAAAAGTTAGTTGTTGTTTACCTGAAATTCAAATTTAATGGATGTCCTATATTTTATCTGAAAACCCTACCCAGGTTCCCCTAGCCAAGGGCACAGAGTAAAGATTAAACTCTTCCCCCTTCCCCACAACCTACTGGCCCATCAGTATACCAACCAGCCATTCTGGAAACACTCCTTTCAACCCCCAAACAGAGAAGCCACAATCACTGAGAGCTGCCACCCCATCCCCAGCTGGTGAGTCCAGACAAAGTGTCCAGCACAGAGCCAGGCACAGAGTGGGTGCTCAAAATACATTTCTTCATTCATTCCTGGCTGCTTGACTTCTAGTACTGGTCCCCAGGGGTATGTGAATGCCAGGCCTGTGTTGACTCTGGGGGCCCTCCTAAGAGCACATAGCATGGCTAGGGTAAGGGTGCAGAAGTCACGCCACCCAGGTCCTCGGGATGACTGAAGACAAAATGAAAAAATGGTCTAAGGTATGTTTTGTAAATCCCAGGGCATCACATGGGTTATTATCAAGACCTTTGAGTGGCCCACTTTTCCACAAAACCCCACAGCCCCCATTCTTCTCTATAGAGAGGAACCCGACTGGGAAATAAAAGCACAGAGCAGAGGAAAGCCAGCCCTCTGGACACGGCAATAATGACGACCAACAACTGTCCAGCACTTTGTAATTCGCCAAACACATTCACATCCATCTTCTCTAGAGGTCTCACCAGTCCCCCTGACTTAAGGGAAGGTTCTGGGCCCATTTTCCAGAGAGTGGTCAGGAAGTCCTGCCCCAGGCCCTGTCTCTGAGATTGGGTCCGGTCCAAGGGGCTGCAGTTCGTGGGGGGGGGGGGGGGGGGGGGGGTCGGAGGCGGGGCCTACCTTCTGCGCCTGTTGGATCATCTGCCTGACCACCTGCTTGAGGTGGGGCGCCTTCTCCTCCTTGGGGGGGTGGGTAAAGAGGGTGACGCGGCTCACGCCGCGGTAGACGCCGGTTTCCGTCCAGCCCAGATCCAGCGGGGGCACCTCGGTGTCAGAGCGGTCGGGCCAGTAGGCGAGGGACTCTTCGGGCTCGGCAGGGGCCTGGGCTGGGGCCTTGGCCTTGGCCTTGCTCTTGCCCCGAGCCGCAGCGGCGGCGGCGGCGGCGGCATCCTCGTAGGGGCTCCAGGAGGCGCGGAGGGCCTGACGCTCCTGGCTGGAGAGGAAGTCCCGAAGCCGCTCCTTCTTGACCCGCTCGCGGTAGGCCTGCTCGCCGCCGCCCAGCAGCGCCTCCAGCGCGGCCCGCCGCCGCTCGCAGTAGTAGAAGGCGGCCTGCGCCTCGGTCACCCTCTCGTTCACGTGCGCCTCGTCCAGGCAGCTCAGCTGGGACTCGGCCATGGCGCCTCGGCCGCCCGTCCCGGCCCGGGCCGCGGCCCCCGTCCCACCGCCGCACCTGGAGCCGAGGGGCGGGGCTGCCTCACCTGGCCGCGAGGTCGGCCAATCGGCGCGGGCCGGGGCGCAGGCGCGGCCGTCGGGCGGGGAGGGGCGGCCGCGCCCTCCGCCTGCGGGCCCCTAGCCGGGCGGGTGGCCTGGGGGGGCGGGGGGCGTCCCAGGGGCAGCGGCTGGGCCTAGGCCTGCTGGGCCCGGCCCGGGTCGGGGGCTCCAGGATGGGCAGGAACCTGCAGGGGGCGGGTGGTCCAAGTTAGACGCACGTGAGGCCTCTGGCCCGCGTCTTCCTCCCACGCTGCGACCCTTGGCGGCGATCCCACCCTTCCCGCCGCCTGCCAGGGCCGGACACGGACGTAGCAGGCGCGCACTCATCTTCCCTGCAGTTATGGCCACGAGCACGTGCTTTGGCCTGGGTGCCTCTGGGGTGGTGGATGTGACTACTCCCCCCGTTGAGGGTCTGGGGGCCCTGCAGCCAGACGGGATTGTGACGGTTGAGGGGGGCAGTGGGTGTGCAAAAGCAAAATGCTAATAAAACCCCCAGCCCCTGGCCCACATGTCCCAGTTCTGAGATCAGAGGGCTCCAGAAGCTGTCAATACAGCACCTTCACCACGAAAAAATTTCTTAAAAAAAGAAAAAAAAAATTCCAAATACTGCAAAGATGTAAGCGGCAGCGGTGGAATTTCCCCCCATTTTAATTTGAAGTGATGTGTGTGTGTGTGTGTGCGTATGTGTGTGTGTGTTTGGGCAAGATAGGCTGCCAGAGGCCTGATTACTATATTAGTGATTCAAAGTACATGTTTGAGCTCAAGGAAAGAAGCCACACACACACACACGCACACACACACACGCACATGCACATGCACACGCGCGCACACACACCACCAGCAGCCGGCTGCTCTGCTGTTTCCCATTGGATTAAATACAATCTTCTTAGTCATTAACATATTATTTTGTTCATGCACTGCTGTACAATTTGATTCTCCACATTCAAAATATTTTCAGATCATAGCAACCAAAGGTTCACATTTCTCCCATTTTATAGCACAGCATCTCAGAGCTGGAAGAAGCATTAGAAACTAGTCCAACCCCCTCATTTTACAACTGAGGAACTTGAGGCCTTGAAGCACGTGGTTTACCCAGGCCTCCCAGAAAAGGAGAGGCAGTGCATGGTGACTATTGGGTTCTCTGTGTCTCAGGGATCTTTGCCCTACATCTCAGCCACCTTCGACCTTTCTCCTTACAAAATGACAGAAGGCTCCTCAGGACCTGATTTAAAACCCCCAGGTATTCGAAGAGGTTGCTTACTATTTCTGGACCTTCCTTTGAAGGTGTGAAAAAATGAGGGTTAGATTTTCAAATATCTGTCACTGTTGTGACAGTCGTTCGTTCTGGCACCCAGTGTCAGCCCAAAGATCTGTGGCGGTGGGCAGTGGCTGCCTGTCACCTTGGCACCCTTAGGAATTGCCCAGGCCTCTTAATTAATGGCAACATTCTACTCTTAACTAATCTTTAAACATATTTCATTTTAGAATGGAGAGCATTTAGTTTGCTTCCTGTGATTTTGAGGCTCTAAGAGATGCCAGACTGTGGGGCATAGAGGAGCTGGGGGTGGGGGGAAGGTGGGTGGGAGGAACACAGAGATACTCAGGATAACACAGGTGTGACGAAAGTGCTTTGATCAACCCAAGCAGCAGTGCTTTGGGCACAGACATTTACTCAACGCCCACTATGTGCCTGGCACGCAGTATGCACTTAGCACATAGTTCTTTAAAACAGAATGAATTAGGGCCAAGAGAAAGGTATGTGCAATGAGCTGCGGGGACTGTGGGGGAAGAAATCATTAATCTGTCCAATGGGATGTGGATAAGACAGGCTTCACTCAGCAGGAGGGGGTTTTGAGTGGAGCCTAAAGCATGAGATTTCAAGGGGACAGAGGGAGTGAAGACACTTCGGGCAGAGGGAGATGGCCAGCGAGCATCATGCTTATGTCAGGCACATGTGGCTTCGGGTCAAGATACTTAACCCTCAGAGCCTTAGTGCCCTCAACTGCAAAATGGGGTAACAGTGCTACTTCCTCTCAGATTGTTGTTGGGATTAAATGAGATCTGGTATTGATTTAATTTGCTTTTGCGGTTGATGGTAGAAAAGGGTTTCTTTCTTTCTTTCTTTCATGTTTATTTATTTTTAAGAGAACAGAGACAGTGTTAGCGTGGGGGAGGGGCAGAGAGAGAGGGAGACACAGAATCCAAAGCAGGCTCCAGGCTCTGAGCTGTCAGCACAGAGCCCGATGCAGGGCCCAAACCCATGAACTACGAGATCATGACCTGAGAAGTTGGATGCTTAACTGACTGAGCCACCCAGGCTCCCCTAGAAAGGGGGTTACAACAGTGCTTCTAACTCCAGGGCATAGAAATCCCCTGGAGGATCTTGTGAAAATGCAGATTCTGATTCAGTGGGTCTGAGGTGAGGCCTGAGATCTGCATTTCTAGCAAGTTCCTGGGTTATGCTGGTGGCGCTGGTTCACAGACCACACTTTGCATAGCGAAGATTTATTTAGAGTCCAGTGAATAAGAGCATGAACTTTCATGTCACAGAGTCTTGGGATGGAATCTCACTTTCTTGATAAGCTGTGTGTCCCTGAGAAAGTTACTTCCCTTTTCTGAGCCGTGGGCACATCTTCAGTGAAATCTGTGCAATAAAAAATTCTACCTTATAGGCCTTCCTGAAAAGGGAAATAAGTGTATGGGTATATATTGCTCCGTGAAATATCTAGCCTAGCAGAGAAGCCAGGAAAGGGTAGTTAGCGCTAACGTGTGGGACTGGAAAGAGAGAGACATTGGAGCCCAACTGTGGGGACCTTGATTTTTTATCTTATTCTGTAGCTAGAGAGGAGGCACTGAAGGTTATTAAGAGACAGATATGATCATTAAAAACAGCAGCAATTACCACGTGCCAGGCACTGTGCTAAATATTTTATGGATCTACAAATGAATTCATGTGACCCTATTTTAAAAATTATTAGTATCCCCATTTTGTTTATTTTTAAATGTTTGTTTATTTATTTATTTATTTAGAGCAAGAGAGAGAAAGCACGAGTTTGAGTGAGTGAACAGGGGAGGGGCAGAGAGAGAGAGAGGGAGAGAGAGAATCCCTAGGAGGCTTTGTCGATCCCATGAACTGTGAGATCATGACCTGAATCAAAAGTTGAACATTCAACCGACTGAGCCACGTAGGCACCTCTATTATCCCCGTTTTATAGGTAAGAAAACTGAAGCACAGGGAGGTTCAGTAGCTTACTCTAGGTCACCTAGTTAGTGAGTAGGAGAGTCAGGACTCAAACCCAGATCATCTGATTCCTGATCTTGTGTACCCACCCACCCTGCTATGCCACCTTAGTTGAGATTAGAAAGGGGCATTCATAAGAGACGATGTTCCCCTTGCTTAATCATTTCTCCAATCAGCAAATATTTGCTGAATGCCTAGCATGGTGTTCCAGGTTAGAAATCATTCATTCATTTATGACATAGATAACATGCTTACTGAGCCTTACTAAGCACAAGGTTCTGTTCTAGGTGCAACAGTGCAGCTCTGAACAAAACCAGGTCTTTGCTCATGCAGAGCTCACGTCGAAATGCAACGATTAAGACCTGGTTTTTTATTTTTAAAATTTTTTAATGTTTTATTTTTATTTCTGAGAGAGAGTCAGTGTGAGCAGGGGAGGGTCAGAGAGAGAGGGAGACACAGAATCTGAAGCAGGCTCCAAGCTCTGAGCTGGCTGTCAGCACAGAGCCCTATGCGGGGCTCGAACCCACGAACCATGAGATCATGACCTAGCTGTAGTCGGACATTTAACCGACTGAGCCACCCAGGCATCCCGATCAAGACCTGGTTTGTGTTGGGGCGCCTGAGTGGCTCAGTCGGTTAAGTGTCCGACTTCAGCTCAGGTCATGACCTCATGGTTTGTGAGTTCGAGTCCTGTGTCGGGCTCCTCTGTGCTGACAGCTCGGAGCCTGGAGCCTGCTTTGGAATCTGTGACTCCCTCTCTCTCTGTCCCCCTCCCCACTCCTGCTCTGTCTCTGTCTCTCAAAAAATAAACATTACAAAAGAATTTAAGACCTGGTTTGTCTTCTCAAGGAGCACAAATGTTATGTGACAGAACTTGGAATTGGACAGAAGGTGAGAATCGGAATAGAATATTTTAGGAAGAGTTCACACTGGACAAGATCTCTCCTAGATGTAACTGATATGAGGCACACTGTGCTCTTTTTGTAATATTCCCCTTTAGGGACCAATGACTTATTTATTCAGCTAACATTTTTGAGCTGTGAACGTGTCCTAGATAACATGCTCGCCACTGGGAATAAAAAAGAGGATTCAGCCATGATAGCTAGCTGTCCTGGTGGCTGCCTTGTTGAGCTGGGAGGCAGATATCCACAGCTGTCTTTGTGAAGCAGAGGATATTGGCTGCTCTCAGAGACGTCGCAGGCGGTGGAAACATTTTACCATATAATCATCTAATCTGGTGCGTCCCTAATCCTGTGAAGTAGACTGTGGAAAAGAATTCCAGGGGGGTGTCAAAGATGAATAAACTGAGGTCCTGGAGGATCTGTTCCAGGTTATCAGCTGATAAGTAGAAACACTGCGGCACCTGTCCTCGAAGACTGACCCCCCCCCAGGCCTTCGAACGCTCTGTGCATTATTATCGCTGAGATTTTTTTAAAAGCCTAAACCCGTGGGGAAATGGATTCCTTTTAGGCACAAGCTCTATCTCCTTTCTGTCTGGGGATGGCCCATGAGGCGGCGACACCCTAAGAGAAAGCCTCTGGCCTGTACCAGTCTCTCCAGTCTTGGGTCTGGAATTTACCCTGAGCTAGGGAAGCCTGTCAAGCTGGCACTTCCAATATCAGAGGCCCCTTTGCCCAAGGTGACTGAGTCTTCCTGAGAAGTG